TATACTCATGCTCCCAACATTTTTGTAATACATCTTTGACTGGATGGGTTTCTACATGCCCCCTTACAGAACACCAGTATGCCATCTTTAACTTAAGTCTCCGGAGGTCTAAAGGCAACTCCGCCATTTCCACCTGCATCGCTGAGACTGGCGATGTTCTAAATGCCCCACTTCCTATTCTTAGTGCTTGAGATTGAAAACCACTTACTTTCTTTAACAGATACTGATGCCAAACTATATACTATGCTGCCATAATCAATCATAGGTCTAATCATTGTACAATATACTCTTTTCAATGCCTGTCGGGTTGCACCCCAATCTACCCCTACCAAACATATTAAAATATTTATTCCCTTTTTAACAGTGAGTCATTCTCTCATGAGTCCGTTGTTTCACCATAACTACTCAATAACGCCATCTATCGCTATGGGGTAGAGTAGGCAACTACCAGAGTTAAAGTGCACGTCTTTAATCTTAAAGTCACCATGAAATCAAAATTGAAAATTCTTATTTTTTAATGGAATACTGTAGTGTTTATTATAAATAATTTATCCGTACACTTCATTATATATTTTTTAATTCATGTGCCCTCATAATCTTTAATCAAAAACGTTAACCTCCCCTCCCCCTCAGTAGGACTCATCTTCTTTTCCGGTCACGAGCTATGGCGCAAGGGTGGAGCTAGTGACTGAGGGGTAAACGCTGGGATAAACAATGGTGAAAAGCTGAAGCTGATGCTTCACTTTATAGCACTGACACCAGTCATGAGGGGGTACGTTACCCCTAAACATTGAAAATATATTAGGATATTACGACAACATTACTCTTAGGACATCGCAAATTAATTTTTTTCATAAATATGACTTAACCTGATGGAGGACATGCTCAGTCATTCAGGCAGTCTCTCTCTCTCTCTCTCTCTGCGCTGCTTAGGCATGTTCTGTGCCGTTGATCGTCATAGTCATCCTTAATAAATAAAACATTTATTCATGCTTGGGTGTCGGCTGTGAATCCAGTGGAGAGAAATCCCCCACCACTAACTGCAAACTGGCATTCAGATCTCCCTCCATATTGTTAGCAACGCCCCAACTTCCAATGATCCAATCAATTCCCGAAGGACGAAATCAAGTCCCGCTCTCTCATTTCAGATGCCGTTTCCCTCGGATATACGTCACAGTAGAGAAGAAAAGACAATCGCAACTTCCGTTTCATGCCGACTTTAATAGAAATACATAGCAATAGTTCAAAGAAAAAATATTTTATTTACAAGCATAAAGACAATAAACAAAACGTTCTAACAGGGTTACAATGCATGAAATGCATATTACCTTGAATGTTACATATAGTAAGGAATAGTAATAAAATCATTATAAACTTAATATGAAAAATTCTCTTTTTAAAAATTTTCCAAAATTGGCTAATACATAAGATACATTCATTTTAACAAAATAAGTAAAGTCAACTGAACACTTTGAAACAGAAATATTTGGATAACTGTTTCTTCAGAGTGATGACAAAATAAGCTTTTGGGTGAAATGTTCATTAAATTTATTAATGAAATTCTATTTTGTTAATGTCGAAGAAGCCAGAATTTTTTTCCTTCCATTGTGTATGACAAGAATAAGCGTCTATAATGAGCCGTCGTGGCGACTTACCGGAGAAGACGCTTCCGTTTGGCGGCAGCATGTGGTGACACTGCAGCTCGGTTAAACCAGCAGTGTTTTCTTATATGGTGAAAACTTTATCGGGACATCAAACCAAGAAATGTGATCTGTCAGATGATCCTGAGAAAAAGACACGATTGCCTGTTGACAGTCGAATACGAGGCTTTACTAAAATGAAAAAAAATAGTGAATGGAAGAAAGTTGTGGCGGGTCGGGCACAACTATGCTGTGAATGGACCAGAGTGGGGAGAGTCTGAAATAGGAGATAGTGACGATAGTATGGATATAAGCCAAGGAAGTGTGAGAATGAAGGAAAAGAGAGGAGATGATTTAGCAGGAGTCAGGTCGAAGAAAATAAGAGGCAGTGGAGGTGTTGGAGAAGGAAACGAGGAAAGAGAGAAGGCAGATGGCGACTTCAAAATTATATTGAGATTTGCGGAGGAGAAGGGAATTTTGTTAATGAGTCCGGTAAAGTTAACAACCGTTTTAAAAAATCAGGTCGGTGATATTAATATGGCAAAGGTGTTGAGAGATGGCAATTTGTTGATTGTTTGTAGAAGCGAGGAACATAGACAGCGGGCTGGTAGGATGAAAGAAATAGGGAGGAATAAAGTGGTGAGTTTAAATTATATTGAAAGAGGAACTAAATGGTGTAAAGGAATGATCTGGGGAGTGCCAGTCAGCGTTACTGTGGACGAAATCAAGGCAAACTTAAAGGGAGGAAGTGTGAAGGGTGTTCGGAGGCTGCAGGTAACTCGTGAGGGAGTAAGGCTAGACAGCGAGTCTATCATGGTTGAATTTGAAGATGAAGTGCTTCCCAAAAAAGTAACTCTAGGTTTTATGAGTTATAATGTAAGAGAATATGTACTAAAGCCAATGAGATGTTACAACTGTCAAAGATTTGGTCATACAGCCAAAACCCGCAAAGGCAGAAGAAGGTGTAGATCATGATTATGAGCAGTGTGGTCACAAGGAGCAACCCAGATGTAACTGTGGTGGAAATCATAGTGTGGCTTATGGTGGCTGTGAAGTACTGAAAAGGGGAAAAGAAATACAACAGGTGAGGATTCAGGGTAAGGTGACATATGCAGAGGCTGTGAGGATAGTAAGTCAGAGAGGAGGAAATGGAGAAAGAAGCAGTACAGGTAAACAACTCCATAAGGATTCAGATCAGGCAAATGAAGAAAAGGTGATGGTTGACATTAAGAAACTAGTCACATTCATAGCAGGAGTAATCAATGCTAGAATGGGGATCAAGTCTAAAAAGTCTACAAAAAAAAGAGAGAATACAAATTATTGTAAAAGCAGCAGTCCAGCATCTAGATATCAGAGGACTGACATTGGGAGAGGGTTAGAAATGATCTCAGTGTCCAAACAAGTCAAGAACAGTCAGGAACTGGATAGTGTTGATAATGGTTCTCTGTCTGCAATGGAATGCGAGAAGCTTATTGACTAATGGACAGGAATTTAAAAAGTATATAGATGATTTGCCCATTAAGCCAGATGTGATTTGTGTACAGGAAACATGGTTGAAACCAAACTTGGATTTTAGAATAGTTGGTTATTCATCTGTTAGAAGTGATAGGGAGGAGGGAAATGGAGGGGGATGTGCTACATTTATAAAAGAGAGGAATAAAGCTCTCAGAGAATTAAGAAGAACTCATAGTTTTCAGAATTTAATTGTATATAAGAAAGCACAAGCTAAAGTTAGGGAAACAATACGTAGTGCAAAGAGGCATAGTTGGTGAAGTTTTTGTAATAAAATAGGAAGAGTAACACCGGTTGGGGATCAAGTGTATGAGAGGAGTTAGAAAGGAATACCAGTACCCAGTATTAAAGAGGGATGAGGAAGTAGCAATTTCTGATGAGGAGAAGGCAGAAATTATTGCAAAAGAACTGGTTAAAATACATAGTTCTCATAATTTATCAGAGGAGGATAAGAGAGGAAGAATTAAGACTAGAGCAGCTCATCCTAGAGTCTTGGAGAGGAGGCATGAGAATAATAGTGTTTTGGATGTTCCATTTACTCTGGGTGAAATGAGAAGAGTAATAGCAAGATCTGGATGTACATCTCCTGGGGAAGATGGAATCTGCTATATAATGTAAAAACATCTAGGTACTTTAGCAGATTCGAAACTCCTAGGTCGATATAATAAAGTGTGGGATATGGGAAAACTGCCTAATGCTTGGAAAGAAGCAGTGATTATTCCTATTAGGAAGCCAGGGAAAGATCCTTCAAAACCGGTAAACTATAGGCCAATAGCTCTAACATCGAATTTAGTCAAAATAATGGAAAGGATGATTACTGAAAGACTGACATTTTATCTGGAAACAAAGGAACTTTTATCACCTTATCAGAGTGGATTCAGGAGAGGGAGAGGAACAATGGACCCAGTTGTATGTTTGGAAACATAAATCAAGAAGGCACAGGTTAACAAGGAATCAGTTATGGCAGTTTTCTTTGATGTTGAGAAAGCATACGATATGGTTTGGAAGGAGGGACTAAGTAGTCAACTCGAGTAGTTTCTTTAGTCAAAATAATGGAAAGAATGATTACTGAAAGACTGACATTTTATTTGGAAACAAAGGAACTTTTATCACCTTATCAGAGTGGATTCAGGAGAGGGAGAGGAACAATGGACCCAGTTGTATGTTTGGAAACAGAAATCAAGAAGGCACAGGTTAACAAAGAATCAGTTATGGCAGTTTTCTTTGATGTTGAGAAAGCATACGATATGGTTTGGAAGGAGGGACTAATGATTAAGTTAAATAAAATAGGAATTTCAGGAAGAGTATTTAATTGGATTAAAGATTTTTTATTTGACAGATCTATTCGAGTTAGAATTGGTACAGCTTTGTCCAGGAAGTATCTGGTAGATAACGGTACCCCTCAGGGTAGTCCATTGCTTTTTCCATCATGATAAATGATGTTGATATTAGTCGATCTTTATTTGCAGATGATGGAGCATTATGGAAAAGGGGAAGGAATGTTGAACACATTAAAATAAAGATACAAGAGGCAATTAATGTGGTTGAAAAATGGTCATACTCATGGGGATTTAAGTTTTCAGTAGAAAAAACTAAATCACTAATATTTACAAGGAAAAAAAAGGAAATCACTGGAATGGAGGTAAGAATATACGGACAATTAATTGAGCGAGTTAAAGTCTTTAAGTTTTTGGGAGTGTGGTTTGATTCCAAATTGATTTGGACTGAACATATTAATAATATACTCAACAAATATAAAAAGGTGTTAAATGTTATGAGGTGTTTATCTGGATCTGATTGGGGAGCGAGCAGAGGTGCAATGTATGTATATATAGCATTGATTAGATCAGTATTGGATTATGGGAGTTTTGTATATGAATCGGCAGCTAAAACATCATTACAAAAGTTAGAAGTAATAGAAGCTCAAGCATTGAGATTGTGTTGTGGTGCGGTCAAGTCGACTCCTGTTGATGCTCTGCATGTGGAGATGGGGGAAATGCCAATGTGTTTCCGACATGAATTATTGGGCAAATTTAAAAGGACATACGGAGGCTGGAAACCCAACCACCAAGGTACTTCTCCCATGTTGGGAGAGTGAGAGAGCTAAGAGTAAATGTTTTGCATGGATCTCAGTGGATATAGCAAGAAAAATGGGATTAGATCAGGAAACATACATTCAGTGCCATTAACAGTAACTCCTCCATGGTTATTTCTCTCAGTATTCATTGATTTATATCTACTGGAAAATAGTCATCTATTTAAAGATACAGGAAATCTGCCAGTGTTGGTGGAGGATAGGATTCAAACATTGTATCAGAATTATGTAGCAATATATACAGACGGATCCAAAGATCCTACAGGAAGAACAGCATATGCATTTACCATTCCATCTTTACAAGTATCTATCAATAGGAGAACATCAGATCACCTGGCAGTTTATACAGTTGAGTTAATAGCAATTGCAACAGCTCTGCACTGGGTAGAACAAGTTAAACTAAACCGTTATTCTGTGCTCGGATTCAAGTTCAGTGTTATTATCGTTACAGTCATTTTCATCCCGGGGTAGGCAAGACATAGTTAATGAAATATATGAAACTCTTTTCAGACTTCATAATTTGAATATAGTGGTTACATTTATGTGGGTGCCTGCTCACAGGGGAGTTAAAGGCAATGAAACAGCAGATTCATTAGCAAAAGAAGCAATCAAGCAAGAAAATACAATAGACATTTTATTTAGCAAAGCAGAAATAAAGACAATAATTAAAAGTAAAATCATCAGTAAATGGCAAGATAAATGGAACAAGGGAAGTGCAGGCAGACATCTTTATAACATCCAGAAAGAAGTGGGAAGGATGCGGAAGTACCAAGGAGGAAAATATAATATCAAGGTTAAGACTGGGTCACACAAGACTAAATAAGACATTACATCTCATTGGAAAACATCCCACAGGTCTGTGTGAGTATTGTCAGGAGGAGGAATCAGTAGAACATGTTCTATGTCACTGCCAAAAATATATTATAGAAAGAGAAATATTCAGAAGGACACCACAGGAGATACTAGATGCAAAGCAAATACTCGGTCAAACAGGAAATTATAATTCTTTAGTTTTATTCTTGAGGGAAACTGGGTTAATAAATAATAGTATAATAGTTATTTTTAATAACATATTGTGTTTTTTTAAAATAAAAATTATTATTATTTTTTTATATATAAATTTCTGTTAGTCACTCTGGTCCACACTCCCGTATAGTAGGTGGCGGTAATGCACCTTAACGTTGGATGCCACCCGCCATAAAACATGAAGAAGAAGAAGAATCCGAATGAGCCGTCATGACGTCATATTTTTGCGGCGGAAGTATTTGTCTTTACGTCCATTCATGTCAGTGAGCGCAGTTGCGTTATCCTTCACATGTTCCCGTGCATATAATCTGTCAGTAAAGTTTCGCCATGGCTGATTTTACTTCTGGCTTTGATATGCCGTCGGCTAGTTCATCTGAAAGCGCTGAAGCTGCGGAGCTCCAGCGTCTGATTGCAGTAGAGCAGCAAAAGGCTCAGTTTCAAGCGCAGGTGGGTAACTCTTCAGTACCGCTTTGCTGTCATTCAAAACCAAGCCTGGTGGGTTTTAATCCTGTTTAACACTCTATTCAGGTTCACAACTTTACGGATGTTTGCTGGGATAAGTGCATGGACAAACTGAGCTCCAAGATGGACTCACGAACTGAGACGTGTCTCGTTAGCTGCGTGGAGCGTTTCATCGACACGACGCTCACCATCACCAACCGCTTTACGCAGATGGTCCAGAAGGGCGCGCACTGATTGACGGACACCGTCCTCAAGGACAATTAGCCTACCACATACTCTTTATGCTCTCGGTGTACGTCCAGGATGATGTTTTACTGCTCTTTAGGGGTGTGGTGAACCCTTTCACTCTTGCGGAAAAAAAATACCTAAAGCCCTTTCTCATAGACTCTAAAATGTTTATTGATATGTGTATCACTGTTGTACTAATACAGCCAGCAAAGAACGATTATTTCTGCAGTACTGGCAGTTTCCAGTACTGACTGTCCACATCTGTAAACCTGACTGGTTTAATTGTGACTTAAAATAAATCAGAAGTTTCAATGAAACAACCGTGAATGATCTTCTGTTTTGCAAAAGAACACATTTGTGAGCTGTTTTTTAAAAAATTTTATTAAAGGGGGCATATGATGCTGCTAAAAAGAACAGTATTTTGTGTATTTGGTGTAATGAAATGTGTTTATGCGGTTTAAGGTTAAAAAAACACAAGAAATGAAAAATTTAAATCGCATCATATGACCCCTTTAAAAGAAGATATTTGAAAGCTTTGTTTTGTAGGGATTCGCTGTGTATTGGCACCATATCCAATATCAGCTAATACACTATATTTAATTGTTATCTCTGCCTTGGTTTAGATCATCATCTGGCAACTTATGGCAAAAATATATCCCTTTAAATGTACTTTCTTTTGAAGAGTGTTTTTTGTTTGTTTGCTTTTTTTTGCCCTTGTCTGCATGAGTATGTGCATGTGGATGTAATGATAACAGAGCTGAGTGCATTTGTACATTCATAATGGTGTGATTCCTAAACTATGGATGCTATAGAGTTGTAGTGATTTAGATTCTCTTTTTTTGTAGCAAAAGAGCATAGAGTAATAATACATTTACTGGTTATCGACCATAACATGAAACATACTTATTAGCTTATTGGTATAGGCCAGAATTTCAAAGTAAATTCCTAATATTTTGAATAATTTGTAATTTGATTTTGTGTATCTTTTATCCTATATATTTTTGACATTTAGCAGTGATATACATCAAGAAGAAACAAAACTGTTTTGTTCAGCAAATGTTTAACTTTCAGGAAAAAAGTTTGCCAAATACTTTCCTGCAAAGACTGTCTTTTTGATTTTCACCAGTGGTCTATACTATTACTACTAGACAATAGCACGAGATAACTCTTTATTATACACTAGCTCTTAAAAACTCTTACAAAGTTAAAATCGGTTTAATTTGATTTTGAATATAGTTTCTGGTCTACTGTAAAACCCCAAATCTGGTTTTGCCTTCTAATCTAAAACAATATGATATTGTAAGAGGACTCCATATGACAGGATTAGTTTTAAGGCAGCAGAGGTCTGCTTCTTGGCTTTGAGGCTATGCCCTTCTTTGTTGTTTAGTGTGCTCAGTACAAAGTGTCCTTTGATAGAGCTGTGTGTGTAAATCTTGCAGGCAGGGCTGCTTTCAGCAATTCTAATTAAAGTCAGGAAGCAGATAGTTTAGCTTAGTGCTCTTACCTGATTATCAGAGCATACAGGAAGCCGACAGGGTCCTCTCAAGCAAAGCCGTTGATGCTTTGAAGCAAAACGGACTGGACACTACCAAACACACTGTCGGTGTACACTAGCAAAAATATATTTCAAGTCCATACATTACATGGGATTAGATGTAGCTTTAGACTTTTTATCAGAACTATAACATGGTAAGACATTTCAGTTTTAATGGTGGAGACCATTGTGATTAAATAATCTACATAATCAGGAAAACAAATAACATGTAAAACAACAAAAAGGGTTCTGCTGAGATTATTTAATCTTCTTATAGAAGTACTTAAAGCTCAGAATTGATAGCTTTTTTCTGTATTATTCAGTTTATTTATTATTATTGTGTGTTTTTACTATATTTTCGATTATTATGGCACTATCTTTTTAGTAAGTAGTGATTTTTTATTATTAAACTAGTTTTTCATTATTCAAAACATAAATATCAACAGTGCAAAAGTACAAATCAATATTTGTGTTTACTAATTAATTTGAACATAAGAATAAAGGCCATCTCTTCGGTGTGAAATGAACACTAGATGAGTTTGTTTGCTTTGATGGCTCAATCTTCAGATGCTCTAGTTAAGTTGTGATGAAAGATTTGACTGTGTACTTGGAACACTAGCTTGTGATGTAGAATTCAGTCTCAGTCTTATCAAGGATGCCCAATAATATGCCTCAGTTCTCTCTTCAAACACCTTCTTCAAAAGAGAGCCATAACAAAACATACCAGAGACGTTGTGGCAAGATATGCAGAAGAATGATCAAAGAGTATTTTCAGAATGGTTGATTTATAAAAAAAATCCTTATCCCCTTTTCCATTTTTCTGACTGCATATGGTTACTTTCATGTATTATCCTTTTGTGATAATGAATCTACTGGATTAAAAAACATCCGGATTTAATTGGTTAATGTAGGAAACAGTATATCTGACAAAAATCCTCATATCTTTTATTTTATTTTATTTAATTACATGGAGAAAATAAATCCCTGTCCCTAACCTTCACAAAGACCCACTGTATGTACTTATGCCAGGCTGAAGCTTCAAGATCAACAACTTCCTAATTAAAACTTGTGTATAATAGGATCTAAATCTGGCATGTCTGTGCCATCTCTGTTCCTGTGTCAGTCTGAGAGTGTCTGAAAGAGCCCTAGTGTCTGAAGCTTCACTGTACACGTTGAGCCTGACACCTCAGGGACAGTGCTTTGGACAGCAAAGGGGCCGTCTGGGAAATTCATCCTGGTTTGGCCCCTCTCCATTCTCTGTGAGAGTGTCTGCTGTCAGTGAAACGTTCATGATTTCCTCTGAAATCTGTAGTACTTAAGAGATTAGGAACTCTGTGTCAATGAGGTCAAGTGTTTCACACAGCTAACAAAATAGCATGTTAAAATTATAATAAAAATGGTGTTATTATGGTTTCAACTAGCTGTGTCACACTTACTGGTGACACAGCTTAATTCTCATTGGTTTAAACAACAGTGATGTTTTGTTATAATGGATGGAGAGAAATTACTTTAGTTGTCTTGTTCATATGTATTTTCATATAAAAGTAACAGAATTTAAATAACATCCAAGTTATTAGCAACTAAGCACATCAGTGTGAATCATGTGATGTTCACCTTCAATCTTAAATGAGCATGATGATGTTGACTGCATCTGAAATCCCACACTTCCCTACCATATAGTAGAAAAACAATATGTGAAAAGAGTATATCTGAATTCACAGTATTCACAAAACAGTAGGTGAAAAATACCTGGATAAACTACTACTTCCGGTGTAATTCTAAAATACGATGGACACCTTGGGCGTGTCCCAATATCCACACTTGTGGTCTTGGCCACTTGAGAGCGTGTGTACACAGCAGGAAGTAAGAGCGCAAAGCTGTTCCAGTTCTGAAAAATGGCTAAGCTCAGTGCCATTACTGCACAGTCTGAGCATATCCCATCATTCATCACATTCAGTACCTCAAGTGAAATTGTGAGATGTCGAGAAAAACTTTGCAGTGTAAGTTAATTTAATTCAATATTATATATAATTTGTGTAAAACGTAAAGTGTACATATTTTATTGGTACAGAGATGAGTATTTTTGAGTTATGCGTGTCTGTGTTTTTTTGTAAAAGCTTTGCAACTGCTTTTTATTACTTAATTAGAAGCACCAAAATGCTTCTAACTACTGAACAGAAATTTAGAATTAACTTTAAAGTGCAAAGTATTAGTTAAAGTATTAAAGTATTTGTATGTGTGTAGGGTAAACATTTAAATTTGGGTATGCCAAATCTAGGCGGAAACCCCCTAAATAACCCCAGTGCTTAAGGAGTTAAATGTACAAAATGTGTAAATAAAGCTCTGTTAAAAAATGTACTTGCACTTTTACAACACTATGCTGTAAGTGTGTTCAAAAGTTATAAGCACTTGTTGAAGTCTTCTTCACTATAGATATGTATATGGTTTTCACTTTTCACGTCCGTTTGAACACAGGAAACATGTCAGGCACGCAGTTCAATGAGGGAGCCAGATGTGAACTCAGTAACGATTCCTACTGATTCACTGGCTCAGAGTGAGCCTGATTTCAAACTGCTAAAACACCTCACCATCGAGTTCGAGTCTTTTTTGACTGACTCCTTAAAAAGAACCGGTTCATAAGAGCATTTGTTCATGATTCGGACATCGCTGCTCTCGCTGTGTTTGCCACTGCTCACGGTAAACATTAGCAAGTTACTTCAAGATGACTTGACGAAAAACCACTTAAGGACGCACACGAAACTTTCTTGGCTGAGTTTTAAACTCTTGTCGCATTTGCGACTGCTATAATTGCAGTCTGGAGCTGGTATTGTGGCAAAAACAACAGTTACTGCAGCGATTTCCTTTCTACATAGTCATTAAAGAAGTTGACATGATACAAGATTTACGCTGCCGTCATTGCAACATTCATCACCTCATGTGCTTTCTGACAGCAGATGACAGACAGATTCCCATGATATATGGCAACATTTCCCTGAATAAAAAGACAGCGTGTACCCTAAAGGCATTCTTCATGCTGACAAGATCCTAAATACAGTCGACAAACCCAAGCAATGACACTATGTTGTACCTGAGGTCAGACCAGGGCTTATGTTTATCTAGGGCAGATGCTCATATCCTTGACTCCTTTCATTGATCTGTTTTTGCTGTAGGTGCTTTGTTATGGATGACCTCACCTGAGCACATGAAGAGGATGAAGTCATTTTTAAAACCATTAGTTGCTGCAGGGCTTCTCCACCCAGCAGGTGAGCAGGTTTTGTTTGACTTTGTTATGTGTTTCTATGTGTTGTAATGCCTCTCGGCAGTATAAATGTCTTGAAGGAACTGACTCAGGACTTCTGATTTCCAGGCAGGGAATTGTATTTATCGTAATACCCAGAGCCGGCGCCACTTTTTTATTTAAAAGATAGTTGATGCTACTATAGCAACAATTTAGGACAGTCCGTTTCACAAAGTGGCATTTTAATTGTTACTTCTCTGACACAAAGTTAGAGCAGAACGAACGTGTCACACGTTTTAAACTCAACAAAATGGTAAAATACATATATCAAGAGCATGCTCACAGATGAAAACAACAGAGAACAAAACAGCGTTGGATGAAGTGGATTAGAGCCTTGCACGGGCCTCAAATATAGGCCCTAACCAATCTTTTTTTCCCCTTCTCCCAAAAAAGCTTATACTATCAGCTATTAAAATAGTTCAGTTTTGTATGTAATGGAAAGTTTGAACACAGGAAACATGTCAGGCACGCAGTTCAATGAGGGAGCCAGATGTGAACTCAGTAACGA